TCTCTCCAGAACTGAGTTCAAGCAACGCGCCCCTCTACCTCGTAATACAAAAGACATTCAGTCATTACCATAATTGACCGTTCCAGGTTTAGCTGGGTTTGAAGGCTAAAAAAATAATTACGCGTAAATATAAGCATAAATATATACATTTCCTTTATATTGAGTATTTTAGAATATTAACAGAAGTATATATATATTAATTTTTTAAACTGCATTCCGTTTTAAGCGGAATAAAATAATACTTTTTCATGTTAAGAATAACTTAAAGTCAGTGAGATGTTTTCACGATTTTTGTTAATTTCATTAGAACGAAATTTAAAGTAATCTTCTGATTTTATTCCGTTAACAATTAAAAAAATTAAAAAGTTAAGGTTTTTTTAGTATTATCAATATTAAAATCAGTTAATATTTCTTTCTTTTCTTCTCACAGATTCTTCTTTTGAAACATGATCTGAATGATCAGTAGCGTTTTAAGTTCACTGCAACAAGTCTCAAATTTGAAATCTTATTCACACTATAATTAATGCTTTTTTTAAATTTCTACTATTAGCTCACACTCTCCCTATATCTTGTTCAAATTTTCAATTCGTTAATAATCTTTACTAAAGTTCAAATGCATTTTTTTAAACTTATAGTGGATGACACTTGATGTTGATATAGTTTTTCACATATTAAAGTCAATTCCTACTTATTTATTCGTGTTTATCGGAAAAGATAGGCTATTACGATTTACTGATATATATCATCGCCTTCAATCATATTTTCACTGAGCGTAGTAAGTGTGCATCTATTCGGTTCAAGAACAGAAGCTCTCACAATGTTTGCCAACACCATTCCTAAACATTGAAATACATGTCATTGACCTAAGTAGGAATTGACATAAAAAATTGTTTATATTACTTGTTAAAATTTATTTCAATTTATGGTAACTTTTGCTTTAATAATTTAATATAGGGTGCCACTTTTAGAAACTCAAATCACTGTCTTTTAGATCCTACTAGACTAAAAAGCGAGTTATTGCTTTAGTCTGAAGCAAAGTCTTAAGAATGTTAAAATAACATTTTTATTGAACTCTTTAAATGCACAGAAGGCACTACTTGTGCTACAGAATATAGTTCTGCTACTTGCGGGTATTTAAAACAAAATAGGAATGAAAATTTAAATTCAAGTGACGTAGTCTGATACTGTACACAAACTAACCTACTTAAGCTCAATTAACAGCGCATATTTTAAACATCAGCTAGCAAAGTGGCTAAAGCCGGAATAACTTTGGCAAAGCTCGTAACCGTACGTAACTACAATGCGAGGCTACTGGTAGGTTTAAATCTAAAACATCCAAATCCTTGGCTTAAACAGACAACAACTAGTTTACATTTTGGTGACATGTACGGAAAGAAAAATTAGAAGTTCAGATCATAATAACTTGATTATTTGCGCTTTTGCAGCTGAGGGTGATGGTTCGGTAAAACCACTGAAACTAGTCCTGTGAAAATTTGAAAATATAACGCTGATTTTTGTTGTTATTATTAGTTCGGCGTGTTATTGTATCTTAATCATAATAACTGGTTAACTAACATAAAATACTACAGTGCTACTTAGTAATTCTAATTTTCATACAGTTTATTTTTTATGAAAGCTAGGAAGGAGGAAAAGAACTATTCTTATTTTAAAAATTTGCGACTGAGTTTGAAAATAATATAATTTTAGTTATTTTTATAGCTATGTTTTCGATGATATATTTGGGTGGATAGCTAAATATCACGAAACACATGAGTGCCATCTGACTAAGAGGATTGAAACCTTACTAGAGGATTTTCTAATGGAAACCAGATCTTATTTACGCTATACATGAGAAAAATAGCTTAAATACCTATGTAGACGGCATAGTAAGTTAGAACCGACAGCCACTCAAACTGTATTCGGTAATTTTATCAAACGGTTTTAGCAAGCTTTTTAGCTTTGCAAAATATTGTTAACCATAACTTTAATGAAGAGATGATAAAGTTATGATTAAAAATACTTGAAGAAATTTTTGCAAGTAATGCATAATAAAAATAGTTATCGTTCTTGGACAAATTTTCTAAAACTATTGAATATTGTAATGTAGGGTTCCTCTTTGTGTCTAAGATGAACGTCGAGGGAGCAAGTGAACTGTTTAGCTACGTATTGTTCAGTTCAAATAACTAAAGACGTAAGACTCAATAAGGGTGAAAGTAAGTTGTAAGTGGAAACAAGAATTGATATTAAAGGGACTTTAAAATTAAAATAACTGTTATAAAATTAAAATATACCTTACAGCAATAAAAAGAGAAAAATAGAAAATATACCATAAAAATAAGCCATTTAAAAGGCTCTCAATGTAACACACAATTAATGTAAACGAAAGTGCCACTTTCTCAGACTGTAAAAAAAGATAACGTAACTCGTTAGATCTTTATAAGACATCCACGTCTTCCAAGTATTAAGTTTCCCAGTACGTCCAAAACTGAGCAGTGTTATGTCTTTTGCTATAAAGACAGGAAACTTTTCTGAAAGATCCTGCCGAATTTTTCATGCGTGCCATGAATAAATAATTACTGACAGTGACACCCAGCCTTATAGTCTATCCATAGTTCTTCATTATCTTTTATCATGAAAAAAAAAGTTGGAGTTGCAATTGCAACTACACAACTGTCAATGTCTTTTATGTTGATCCTCGGATGTTTACAATATTATGATACCATGCACGAAATAGATAAGGAGCAATAGCTTGAAGCACATAAATTATCATCTGCCACTGACCTATTAAACTTGACCTAAAGGACCAATATGTGCTACCCTAAAGTATTACGGCAAGTTATAGCCTGTCACCAAATTAAGACTCTTGAAAAGACTAAACATTATTTTATTACCAGGAATCTAAAATTTATTAATTCAACAACTTGAAGTTGATGATGATTGATAATGTACAAAACAAGGTTGTGGTACTTGCTGCATACAGTTTCTTGACAATTACTTATGAGTATAATCTGGTTGACGCAACAAGACATCTGAATTAGTTCACAAGAGCAATTAAGTTGTTAATATCACATATGGTGTTACCACATCTAACGACGCATGAGGCCAAGAGAAACTTTTCATAGAAACAGGTTTCTCCTTCTCCTACCGTTGAAAGGATCCTAGCTGAAACTCGCAGTAGGCTATATCCCGCGTAGCTGCACGGACAATTTACGATCGAGATGAAATATCTTGTTACTTTGATACACATGTATGCATGCAGTGTTTCTACCACGAAAGAGCAGTACTTTCCTGTAGCCTGCGATACTTCCACAGTGGGAATCGCGCTGAAAGTAACATGATTAGATCCAAAACTCAGAAGTCAGCGAGTATGAAGAAAATTTTGAACTTGTGTTCTTTATATCTTTTCCGTGAAGTGTTTCTTTTGGCGTGCTGCTGATGATAGCTTGTAGATGTGACACCGGTTTCACAAATCTCACTGGAATGGTGCAAACACCACGGTGCCAGTGAGTTAGCCACTATTCCTCTCGAATGCGAGTTTTGTCTGGTCACAAGAATGTTCTTTGACTGATGTTACCTTAAAATTCCTAAAGCAAACCACAAAACACAAATATAAAATTAATTAAACTATGTGTGCTGCAACGGAAAAGTTGTTGCAAGGCAAGCAAAAAATTAATGTCGCCCATTCAGTTATATTTACGCTCAGAATTGCTCTTGAGTGTCACTGCTTACGCCATTTGCGTCACAATCACGTTCAGTAATGCACAATGTTAATGCATTCATTATCAATTAAGTGGCAATTCTTGTGGCATTGTTTAGCCAGTTTGTAAGAGACTTTTCTGAGCTGAACTGACTTCAACATATCATGCATTTTATTATTTTTCACGTACCTAGGTGCATTACAAATTTTCCGTAGAACAGTATTTTAAGTACTCTGTAATTGTTTTGGTTGGCACGGCATAAGTATGCCCAGGCAAGAAGGAATAACATACAGTGGAACGTTAGATGATTTTGTAAATTAATTATTTGCTGTATACAGACAGAATTCTATTACTAGTGATTAGAGGGAACAGTGTTGATTTAAGAGACATTGATTTGACAATAATTTTGATAATAACTGATTTAAAAATTTGTAAAATACTTTCATAACTTAATTTAAATTTATAAAGGAGTTTATGGGTTGTAAAGAAATTCCGTAACATCAAAATTCATATTTACTATGCTAGATATAATTAATTTCGTATGTATTAGGTGATGACTCTTAACTAACCTAGTTGACTATAAAAAGTTCACTTAGTTTACTTATAATTAATTATTTGTAAGTGACATTTTAACATTCAGTTATATCCCAGCATTTAGATATTTTAAAATCATTTACATAATTAACGGTTAGAATTTAAAAAATAATTTTAATATGATATGAAAATAATTATACTTAAATTATAAATTAACATTTCTATAAATAATTAAACATTTCTATAAATTATAAAACATTTCTATAAATTATAAAATATTTCTTAACCATAATTCGTAAGCACTATTTGGAAAATTCGAATAAATTCACACTTTCAGTTGGATAAGTTCTTTTGTAATTGACTAAATATTAAATTTAGAAAGAAATAATTGTAACTGTAAGTAATTTTTAAAAAGCATTTTGTATCACTTCTTTCATTATTTTCAGTTTTTAAAATACTATACATTTTAAAACAAGATCAAGCTTTCAAAATCTACGCCTTTTTATAAATTGTTTAATAAAGAGGTCTTGCAAACAATAATAACCATTTTGTAATTATTTATATTTTGTATGAATGATGTTATGAAAAATATATTAAAATGCTCTGCAAGGAAATGTTTATGATCCCAGTGGTGAAATAAATATGAAGTTTAAAGAATTTCAACATATAAAGCAAACAAAATGAATATAGAATTCTTTTTTGCCTTATTGATGTATCATTTTGAAGCCTACTGACGCCATATACGTAAACCAGAAGAAATTTCCCGAAACCGATTGTAGATATATTTTAATGTGCCACGTGATACATGTAATTAGGAAAAGTAACATTCTCTACATTTATAAAAGAGAATACATGTGTGACAAAAATATCAAATGGGTTCTTTAAAAACATGGTTTTAAAGTTTACTCTCCGTAATCGTTATCACTCATGTTTCAGTAACTGACAGCAAAACTGTCATTTATATATTTTCTTGTAACCACTTCGTGACAGAAGCTTCGGTGTTTTCACGCCACTGTATGTTAGCTTTTATAGTCTCAAGGCTCTGTTTCAAAGCATTTTCACCAGCACCCACGGTTACTTCACTGAAGAAAGCCTTTACCTAGTAAATTAGAAGAGAAATTTAAAAAAATCATAAATATTTCATAACGAATCAGATAACACAGGACAGAAGTATAGACTTAAGAAAGTGAAAAAATAAATTGCATAAATACAGTTTATAAACTCGAGATTTACAAATCTATTCAGCTCCGCTATTTGATTTACAATGTAATGTTTTTATTGTTTATGTTATATTTACATACTGTGTTGTAGTGACCGAAACAGCTACACAAATACCAAGTTGTAATATAGGGTTGAAATGAACTTCTAACTCAAGTTATAACAATAACAAGATATTTAATAAATTAAAAAAAAATAACAACTGCATACTCAGACAATGTTGGACTTGGGTACATTCAGTCCCGTAATTTAAGAAATTTGTTAACAGGAAAAATGCTCTATCGCATTATACACGAAGATTTATAGTTCTATAAAGACGTTAGGTTATTTGGAGGCAGGAAACATGAAAAATATGCAACGCCTTCACCAGGAATCGAACCACGGACCTCTGGAATACGCGCCCAGGCTGCAGACACCACGAAGGTATATGCCAAGAAAGTGGCAGAAATACCTTATAGTTCTAGCGGGCCAATATGCCCATAGCTCCAGCAGAAAAAGTCTCAGGAAACCACTTTTTATATCTCACTGAGTCGTTACTTGCGCTGAACTCCCGGGAAAAAAGATTCCTTCACTCGTACATAACAAAGGTGTCCATATTCTGACCGTGATGAAAAGATTTCTTTTATCTCTTTGTCCCTTGGAGTGACCTTCGAAGCTGCCACCGGATTCATTAACAAAGGCACCTCATTGCGACAGTATTTCATCTATAAACTGAAAAAGGTACGATTGCATTCTGAAATCATTCATCCTAGACAAAGAACCTATATGCGACCTTATCACAATACTTATGTAAGATAAAACGTATGTAAAACAAAATCCTAACTTTAATATTTAATCCCCCTTTAAATCTCTGTTTTAATTTGTTTATTTTCTATAATTATCCCAAAAGCAGTAAGATACTTACAATAAATCTCACGAAGTTGAGTCATTTAAAAAAATTATTCCTGTTACATGATTCTCATGAAGTGCAGAACGCTTTAGCCAACAATGAAACAATGCAACGACAGAATGCTTCAGCCAATAATAATATTAAGATTTTCAAACTAATATCTAAATTAGTCAATAAGAATAGAATCAGCCACAAACTGAATTAATCTTAACATAACTGTCGAAGTATAATCAGCATATTTCTTTTTCACTTCTCTCTCTTGCTAGTATCTTATTCTATTCTAATGAAAAATATTGATACCGATGATCAGTAGCAAAGATACATAACTACGGAATGTGATGAATAAAGATGTACTAGCAATCACAGTCGGTTGAACACTTCTTTATTCTTCAGAATTCATTTTAAATCAGTTTTATAATTTTTTTGGGGGAAAAGTTTTTATTCTGTCCTTACGTACAGATGTCACTCAAAAAGATCGTTAAATTTGTAAGGATCTTAAGTTTTACTAACGTTTATTTTATTTTAAAACTGTACTATCACTTCTTATTTTCTACTTCCGGCCAGAATTAAATGCTTTAACTTGTTTATGCAAATTGCCTTGCTAACGCCCAAGTTGTGGCTTTTTGCCAAGAGTGAGGGAGAGAGAAGGAGTTTTAGGAAGCAAGCCGCTTGCCACTGCAGTTTTAGGAGTTTTCACTCGGTTGCTGGTTGCCTTTAAGGCCAGAGGTTTATCCCTCTTGATATTTGCAAACGTATTGTAGTTTCAGCATCTCGGCGTACTACATATGTATCCTTTTTAAATAAAGGCCAGTCTTAGTGCTAGGCATTTGTATACTAATTCAAAGTTAGCTTTTAGTTTGTAGTTTTATATTCTTACGTTCAGACCACAAGTGGTTGGTCTCTGTATTCCGAAGTTCGGAAGTGCCTGTAAAGTATTGAAAATAAAGGGTTTCGTATACCCTTCCTGCTTGCGTCGTCTGTTATACACAAATCTTGAACATAGCTTGAGTAAGCTCCCTGTTCTTATTCAGGGCATACCATGTTTCCAAAGTAAATCAAGAGAAACACAAGTCCTGACAAATTGTATTCGATAGCTGTCAAAATAGATATTTCCGTTGAAATATTAAACCCGAAATTTTTCGCGATTACAATATTTACTTTTTACTTCGTTCAAGGGAGTAAAAACGAAATCAGTGTTTTTAAAGTTGGGAAAATTGCATTGAAGGTAAGGCTTCAAAAGGGAAGACTGACATTGATGCTTATTTGTAATAGAATTGGTAGATTTTGGAAAATACTTTCATTTTAAGAAAAGAGAAAAAAGGCAGAATATTTTAAGGTTTAGTTCGGTATTTTTATTATGGCAAAGCACTCGAAGACTATCTGCCTAAGGAAAGGGATGCTTTTGTGGTGGAAAGAACTTGGAGAAAAATAATGCCCTTAAGGAATTTTTTTTTTTTTTTAACTGTATGCGTTGAAAATACCATGAAAGCCCGTTGACTAGGATTTGAACCCAGGTCGAATAACCAGTGTTAGCAACTTATCCTGTAGGTCGGTAATGAAACTAAAGTATTTTAAGACTATAAATATTAGTAAATTTGGTGAGCAAGTAAACCTGGATGGTATTTGAAATTTTGGTTGATAGGATTTGGCGAAAATGTGCTGTGTTTTTCATGGTAAACATTGCAATCCTGTAAACACATAACGAAAAACGTAAAAAATATTTTTTTTCTTATCAGACACTATTTCTGTCTGCTAAGAAAAGATAAAAGAATAATTAAAATATTCAATATTACATTAAAAGGCTGCTGTTGCAAATGTTATTGCTTTCTAACTGAGTAATCATAAAAACTGATTTTGCTCAAACAAATTGCTGCAAGAGAGATTTTTCTTTTTTTCTGATGCTTCTCGATAACAGACAAAAGATTATAAATCTCGTAAATGTTCGCTAACGGAAGGTTCAATTGTATATAACTGTTTATACTAATTTAAGAACATTTGTTTGGCGCAGGAACCTGACAAATTTTGCTTCACAGATACCAAATAATAAATTTGTATGCAATACAAATATGGAAATACTAAAAGTTTGTAGTGAAACAAATCAACTATACGTATGTAAGTTTTATATTTGATTCTTCAGAACAATAATTTAAATTTGAATTTCAAATTTGTATTCAATTAACATATTTTAAAATAAAGTTTAATTTATAAATTCGTGCATAAATTTATTATAACATTATTCGCTTAAAATTACCTATTATTAAAGATGAATATTTAAAGAAGATTTATGAATACTGACCTCATCATAATCCGCTTGCGTACTGAAGTAAGAAATACCTTCAGTTATAATGGTGGGCAATGCAAAAGAGAAACTGGAATCGGAATAAACATTAAAAGATGAAAGATTATTTAAGAAAAAGATTAAGAAACAGAAGAATTTTCAAATGAATTATGAAATTTATAACATATATTCACAATAAAAAAGACAATATTAAAATAGACAAATAATAAATAACAAGCATTAACAACAGTGGAGGACAATAATAATAACAATATGTTTAAAATATTGAAACAAGCAGAATACTAACACGTTTTGAACTATATATTTAGTTCTCTTAATAAGTTTTTTGAAATAGAAAGTAGCAAAATATAAATTTTTTGTTTAAATTTTGGGTAAGGTAAATTAAGGAAGGATTAAATTTTTTCATATTTTAAAATCATTCGCGTTTAGATTTGAAAACAAAAATATAATTCAGATTCTTCAAAATAGTAAAGTATATATTTCATAGCCTACACCTTTGCTAAAATGGTATTAATTATTTAATAAGAGAAGGTAGGCATCCTCCTTTTTCACATAAGTCTAACTTTGAGACTATTATGATCCATTTGTTGAAAACTGACGACGCGAAAAAAAACACCGTGAAAAACCCAGGAAGTAGAGTATATCTACCAGAAATTCGCTATTTCTCTGAGTTCATCAATCATAATTATTAAATATGGTCTTTATTCATTATAATCTGTTGTATATTTTAATTGTTGTCCTATCAAAACTTAAACGGTTAATTCCTGTTCTATACACACATTCACTAATATTCATTTAGGAAAGATTATTTTATTAAACCTTGTGTTCTAGTATAATTAAGTTTAAAGAACTATTTTTTTACTATGATATTTACGCTTTCAAAGTTGAGAAATGATGTAGAATTTTGAAGAAGCTAATGTATATAAATCCTTTTCGCTGTTCTTAAAATATGAATTATTCTTGTTAAAAGGCAATGAGAATTAAAAGGTTATAAAAAACAAAGGGAAATAACTCCAGATTTTCAATCCCATGTCATTTTTCTAAGCGCACCATTACTTTAATTAGGAAGAGAATTATGCGCGAGTTATGACTTCGCTTTTCCTTATCGTTTTGTAAAGCTGCAATGCTAAAAAACTTATTTTGATTTCCATAAGTAAAGTATTTATATTAGTGGTTGTATTTATTATTACTTTAAATTTTATCTATTACTAATTATTATTTAGTTTTTGTCAAGAATAAAAATAGCTTAATTTCTCAAATATTCTCACCTTCCCTCAGATTAATCAAAAGGCCAAAATACCTATTCGAGTCATTTACTTAGGCTTTTATTTTCATCGAAGCGTTTCAAGAGTAATACAAAAAAATGGAAGAGCTATTAAATTTATTAAACATCGAGTCTTCATTAAAATTTCTTGTAAATTTAACATTTTTGATTTTTTGGATAACATTTTAAGTTATAAAATTATTAATTTAATCCTAAGAAAAAAATTTAAGAGAAAAAATAAATAAGATGGTATAAAAATTAAAACATTAATGTTAAATTAAAATAAAATAAATGGAATCGAATTTTATACAAAAAAATGCTATTTTTTCTAACTTTAAATATTCGATTCTTTAAGCTGTTATTAATCTTAGTTTTTTAAGCGAACACTGCTAAATCCTTTCACTTTCTAAAACCATGTTTATTTTTAAAACATCTGATATGAATGAGAAAAGGAACTAAATAATTATTAATGTAATTATCTATAAAAAGTTAATGAAAAATTTCATTTAAAATGTATTATTATTCACTCAAAAACGTTTTAATTCTTAAAGCTGTTATTAATCTTAGTTTTTTAAGCTGACACTGCTAAATTCTTTCACTTTCCAAAACCATGTTTATTTTCAAAAAAATCTGATATGAATGAGAAAAGGAACTAAATAATTATTAATGTAATTATCTTGTAGGGTTTATATTTATTTTAACTAACATTTATTTTAAGTTTAAACTATCTTTCCTGTCAAGCCTTACTTTCCCCTGGAATTGCCAATGTCAGAGTATGTAAATTTTAGTAGAACGCGCAAGGATTCAAATTATCAGCGGAAGTATTCTGAGTTAAATAGAAAGGAAACGAGTTCGAAGGTGTGCTTTCTTGCTTCACGAGTGTGGAAGTGGCTAGTTAGAAATTGAAGAACCACGCATTTCGGCCTGTGTGCTTGCCTCGGCAAATTGTTAATCTTTCAACGTTATATTCAGAGTTTGCTGAATTATCAGCGGTATTTTAGAACGCGGTGAGTTTAGTTACGTTTAGAGAGCCTCGTAGTTAGTCACTTGTTATTATCTCTTTTTAGTTTCTTATTTTTATTTTACCGCCGCGTCGGCGTAGTTTGTGAGCGTCAAGAGCACGCATTTGTAACTTCGAAAGTTAAATAAAAGGGATTTAAACCCTTCTCAAGACTTTGGTCTATTTTCAGCTCTCAGCAGTCACCACTTTGTTGCGTGCAGGTTGGAAGAGCGCAACTTTACAATCTATAAAAAGTTAATGAAAAATTTCATTTAAAATGTATTATTATTCTCTCAAAAACGTTTTAATGTATAATTATTTACAACCAGGAAACTATTAGGTAAAATTTAATGAAACTAACATAGGTCGAAAGAGTTAATAACTAGACTTTTATATTTTTGAATAATACTTTTGTATTACCATCACTTTTAACAAGATATGTCGAGAATGTAACATATGTGATGGGATATCCCATATATATTTCCAATATATATTTCTGATTTCCGAAAATGGTGTGAGAAATTCTGAATGCATTAAATTGAAATTATAAAGCATGGTTTTTTTCTGAAGTATATGTATACTTAAGAGTTCCTAAAATACACTAAATATTTTTCTTCAAATTAAAATGATGAATATAAAAATTAGTATTTTCTCTTTTGAGCGAGAAAATCGTGTTATAAAATTATAGAACATATATTTTAAAAAACAAAAATTAAAAATTTTAAGCTCTCTGGCATACATTCAACTGTACGTTTTCCTTATACCTAAAAAAGAAAAACTATTTTAAAATTTTATATTCCGTTTCTCGGAAGATATGTTCAGTGGTGTTTATATCTGGAAAACGAGAAGATATTTTATATATTTCATAAATTAGAAACAACATACAGAGCTACGTATTCATAATAGTATGCTCATCATTACTGTTGCAACGATGATTTCTAATTTCCTTTCAAAATGTCAATATTTTGCCTATATATTCATTATACCATCAGTGAAGATCATGGTTTATAAAAATGAGATATACTTTTTAGTTATATTTAATCCTTCGTCATTTTCTGCTGATACAACTTTAATTTTTGCAGTTTATATTTAGATCGTTAGGGGCGTTAAAATTCAGCTTTTCTCATCAATCATTTACCTATTTCAATATTTAATATTCGTACGTTTCGTGAATTTTGAGAAAGAGAACTAAAGTTTTTCTTCCTTCCCTGAAACAAAATTATTAGCAGGTCGAATTACTATTTTTACAGACTTTCCATTAATAAACATACTACTTGATTAATAATATTGTGCTTTACGTTTAGAGAACTCTTCGATTCCGTTGAGAGGCTCACTGTTTCTAAATAAGGATATGGCGATTTCGAAGTACCTTACGCTGTTAGGAGATCACCTTCTTGGTGAGCACGGGGGACACTTTCTTCCCCTTCTCTTTTATAGCGCTTTTAGCTTTCTTTTCTAGTTTATAGTTTCCTTCATAAGTTGGGATTTGTAATGGTTTTCAGAACTGAAAGATATGAAAATGATGCATGTTTTTTCCAAGAACAGACAATTGGGAAAAAAATGAAAATGTCTATCCCTTTTCCTAACCTTTAGAAGAGCAGAGAAATTTTTCTTCGTATATATGACAATTAAAATTGATTTTATATATATATCTACAGCATGTCTACATAAAAAACTGTTGAATACAATTTATTGCACACTGTAAAGTAAAATTGTTTTGCTCTTATATTTAAAAAATATTTTCATCGAAGTTTGAGTAAATCATGTATACGCAACGTTTGTATAAGGTCCTGAAGAAAATTAAAATGTCTACATTGTGTATGATCTAGAACAGGGGTTCTCGACCGGTGGTACGCAAAGGGAAAAATAAGTGGTACACAAAGCAGCAAAGTATTTTTAACTATTAAATTCCAAAAATTAAAACCCCAACATCCTGATTGAGTTTTTTTCTCTAACGATGCAATTTATGCGATCTGAGCTTTGTTCAAGAGTAGTATTGGTAGTAGTATTTGTAGTGGTGGTACTAAAGGCTTTCATTTTTTGTTTATATGGTACGCGTTAGTCAAAAGTTTGAGTACCGCTGATCTAGAACAAATGGCTTTTCTTTCCTATGAAAGTGATTTTTGGAGATCTCGTTCTACTAACAGCAGCAGCATATTGCCAGATAACAGAAATGTTTTTCTGAAAATAACCATCTGATTAGCTTCTTTTCCATAAAGCATGTAGTAAAACCTGAAGGAATACTTGAAGATCTCTACGGCTGTAATTTTCACAGAAACACTCTTATTTTCTGAGAAAATATTTCGAAGTTTCGAACCTTTGATTATTAAGCGTTACTGTTTATTGTCTGAAGTTTACATTCAAAACGAAGATGCCTCTCAATGATGCGTGCTAGGACACAATCTTTTAGCTTGAACTCAACTCAGACAGCTGAAGGCAGTCTTAAAAATTATTTCCCCGTCTGTAGAATTCTGAATGCTGATGATGTATAAATAAATTGTCCAGAACCAAATACGCGATGTATTGAAAGACAGCTGCCACCTGCGCCCTGAAGAATTATGCATAAAATATTGCTTTCTCAAAATGAAAGATGGCTTGAGTGCATTTCTGTAGCAAGAGGAGTTTAAATCTTGAATCTGAAAAATTTTTGATAATTTTTTCATTCCAGTAAATGCTCAGAAAATATTCTTTTGATATTACTTTTTGACAAAATTATCACATTTTTATTTCATATTTTAAGCATGAAGAACATCTGCTTTAAAATTCAAAATATGCTGAATGAGCATCATGAATATACAAATGCCCCTGAACAGAAACTATTTATGGTTTCTGATATATTAAGTTCTATGTATGAACAAGCGTTGATCAGTTAGATACGGATTTGCAAGACTTACTGAAACATCATCATGCTTTCAAGCTTTGACACTGAGCCTTCGGAGCATATTTTGTATAAAGTGTGTATGCGAAATATTTTCAGCCAACTTTAATGTTGATATGAGATCAGTTACATTTGCCTATTATTTCAATAACGTGAAAATATGAGCATACTGTATGAATCCTTGAACATGCTTCTACAATGACATTTTTGCGTTCCTTCCGTTTGGTTTACTTAAGCGCACATTTGTACAAAATTACGGTTTGAGTGATTTGAAGATCCAAATAATAAAGCTTTAGGAAAATACTCCCTGGTATGAACTCCTTGGTACGCTTCCGTTTTAGTGAACAAATTGAAATGTATAAAAGTTACCTTCCCAAAATGAATTAAAGTCAATAGTCAAGCTCAGATGGCTTTCATCTGTGAAAATAAAATTGAGGGTATCAAACTTCAAACTCCTTTTAGTGCCAAAAATTTTTATATTTATCTTTCGTTGTTGTGAATATCGGAAAAAAAAACCCGGAAAAATATTCTCATCTGTTCGGATTCTATGAATGTTTCAACACAGGTATCACTCGATCTTCTGCTTACATTGCAAATCCTATAATTGTGGTAATGCTAAAGTTTAATTGGAGCCTAAAAATAAGGGTTGCAATAAATCACAATTTTTCCATCAGTTTTGTGAGATACTATGTGTCAGAAATAATTATGCAGTGCAAATTACTGAAACTTGTATTAGATATTTTATAATGCAAACGAAAATAATTACATACTTTTCCAATAACAGAACCCAATTTGAACGAATGAATGCCCACGTTGAAGAACGACCAATAAGATTAACAGCAGCATAAGAGACAGCTAAGTATGTATCCTGAGGTTTTATTTTGTCTTTGTCCAACGAATAATTTAAATACCTAGAAGAGAAAATAAGAAAAATAATTTTAATAACGGGCCACAGTTGAGGGAGATCGTATTATGAGGTCGAAAACTTTTTTTATAAAATTAAATGCTCGTTTGTTGGTATATCCAGTAATGTGTAAGGATCTTAAGTTTTACTAACGTTTATTTTATTTTAAATCTTTACTATCACTTCTTATTTTCTACTTCCGGCCAGAATTATAAGCGTGAAGGAGTTTATGCAAAGTTGTCTGGCGAACGCCAAGTATTTAAGTGTGGCCTTTTTGCCAAGCAGAAGAGAGGAAGCAGTGAGTTCGAAGCAGGCCGCTTACCTTAGAAGTTACGCAGTTGCTACTTTGCCTTCCAGGCCAGAGGTTTTAATCCTCTTGATAAATTAAACGTATTGTAGTGTTCACAGTCTCTGTGCTACATACGCTTCCTGTTATTATAAGGCCAATCTTATTCTAAAGTTAAATTAGAGTTTAGTTTTATTTTGATATCTTTTACGTTAGACCCCGAGTGGAGGGTCATTGTATTCCGAAGTACGGAAGTCATTGTATATAAAGAAAAAATAAAGGGTTTTGTATACCCTTCGTCTGTATCCTGTCTACTTACTACACAATTAGTGAACATAGCTTTAGTAAGCTCTCTGTTCCTAGTCAGGTCATTGTATGTTTCCGAAGAAGGTTAGAAGAAACATTGAACCTGATAGTGGCGCCCGAACGAAGAATAACCATGGCCGAGTTTCAAGAAGAACCTGTGCTGCCTGCAGAAACGGCTCAGAATCCAGAAATGCCAGCTGCCGCCCTGGAAGGATTTGGGTACATCGTCCAGACCATGCGCGCTTCGATGAAACCAGAAGCAACGTTTAATGGAAACTCACCGGTAACCAGTTTTTTTGGAAAAATTGGATGACCACTTCATGCTCTACCCCGTGCACGAGTTTCAAAAAGTTACCTTAGCTACCAGCGCTTTGAGGGGCCAAGCGCTTAACTGGTTCAAATGTATCGGCAGAAGTCTCTTGGGTCAAGCAGGAAGTCCCACCTATACTTACGAAAATTTCAAGACTGCCCTACTAAAAGCCTTCCCTGTTGTAAGGGATCGTGCGAAATTAGAAACGGAACTTTTCAGTATATATCAACAAAGAATCGAAAACCTCTCGAGCTTTATTTTAAGAAAAATTCACGTTTTCAAGCTCTTGTATGGAAACCGTCCGGATCCTGAAATAATTCAAGTGATTTTGCCGAGGTTACTACCCCAAGTGCAAGACTTTATTGAATTAAGAAATCCGACTACACTGGAAAAGTTATTTGAGCTAGCAATCCAGTTTGAAAGTAGAAGAACGGCGGACGTCGAAAGAAGACGCCAATATCAACAGCGAAACCAATTTGGTACGCCAAGACTACAGCAAACTCAAGCACACGGCTACGGAGAAAAAGCGAATCAGTGGGCAAGGAAACCCGAGCATTCAAAAACAGCCGGCGAACGTCGACAGTTCAATAGCAACCCAGGAAAAAAGTCTCAAGGCCAGTGGAGAAAAGAAGGAAAGCACGGAAAGGAAAAATAATTTAAACTAAAACGGATTTCTGCTGACGAGAGGGTGCGGAAATCCGAAGGCCACGAAAACCCCTCTTCCTACAAGTTAAATACAGTAATGGTGAAAAATTTGACTCTTCCGAAGATTGAAGTCTTGGTAAATAATATCCCGGCCACCGCACTCCTGGATACCGGCGCGCAGTGTTCCTGTGTGGCAGAAGTCTTTTTTAGAAAGTATTTTCGCAAATACCGCATATATAATGCGGATAATACGACAGTATTAGCGGCGCAAGGAGAACAATGTAAGTGCGTAGGTAAAGTACCTTTGTACATCCGTATCAAGGACGAACAAGTAAAGGTGATGTTTTTTATAGTAAAGAATTTGCAAGCACACTTAATCCTAGGAATAGACTTTCTTTCAGACGCACAAGCTACACTGGATTTTAATGAAGCGTCCCTTAAGCTGACGATGAAACCAGTTGCGTGTAGAAAAGGTTGAACCGCCAAGGTTAAATCTTGACCACCTGCCTAATGACGAGCAAGATAGAATCCGACAAGTGGTAAGTGAATTTGCTTCGTTATTTAGTGATATTCCAGGATTTACTCAGGTTACTAACCATAGTATTGACACCGGAGATGCATTGCCGGTTCGTCAAAAACCATACCGGTATGATAAGAATAAGGAAAAAATTATAGAATGGCATATTACCGATATGCTACGTAAAAAGATCATAACGCCCATCTCAAGTAGTTATGCTAGCCCGGTGGTTTTATGTAAGAAAAATAATGATTATCCTTTGGAGCATCCAAAAAGGTGGAGATTCGCTATTGATTACCGTAAATTAAATTCCATAACGAAATATCCGGTATATCCGTTACCGATTATAGAAGAAATTTTAAGGAACATAAAATCAACCAAATTTATGACGACTTTAGACTTAACGAATGGTTATTTTCAAATAGGGGTCAGGCCTGAGGACGTGCCTAAGACTGCTTTTATAACCAAGTCTGGCACTTATGCATTTTTGCGTATGCCGTTTGGCCTTTCAGGCGCCCCAGCAACATTTCAGCGATGCATGGACATTGTGTTAAGACCTGTTCTTGGAAAGTCCACATTTATCTATTTAGACGATATCATTATTACTAGTGATAATCTCGACCAACATGTACAGGATTTAAGACAGGTGTTTTCTTTATTAAATGAGGCCGGTCTAAAAGTTAATGTCGAAAAGTGCAAATTTGCAGCCCCTGAATTAAAATATTTAGGTTACAAAATATCGCAAAAAGGGATCGAGACAGATGAATCAAAAATAATCGCTGTACAAAAGTATCCGACTCCAAACACGGCAAAGAAGCTCTCTTCTTTTCTAGGACTTTGTTCATATTATAGGTCCTTTATAAAAGATTTTGCGGCTATCGCTGAGCCATTGTTAAAATTAAAAAGGAAAAAGGCAAGATTCTCGTGGACGGCCGAAGCCAATAGTGCTTTCGAAAAATTAAAACAAGCATTAACGCAAGCCCCTGTGTTGAAATTTCCTGAAAAGGATGAAAATTTAGAAATTTCAGCGGATGCTTCGGATTATGCGGTAGGAGCGGTACTTTCGCAAAATCAGCAGCCCGTGGCATTTTTTAGCCGAACTTTAAATCAAACACAAAGAAACTATTCCGCGACCGAGAGAGAGGCACTTGCAGTTCTGTTAGCAGTGCAAAAGTTCCGAGTCTATTTTGGAAAGGCGCCGATAACAGTATATTCTGATCATGCGGCGGTAACTAGATTGTACTCAGGGAAAAAATTTATCCCCAAGGTTAATAAGATGGGCACTCAAGCTGCAAGAATATAATCTGGTAATCAAGCATACCCCCGGAAAGGAAAATATCGTAGCAGATGCCCTATCACGAATTAAAATTAGACGAACAGGGTAATACCGTAAAAGTTGCAATGCTGACAGCGTGTACAATAAATTCCCGAGAAACTGTAATAACCGAACTGGGTAAGGATCCTGAGTTTGGAAGTATTTATGAGTATTTGAAGGATCCTGAAAATTTTAGCCACCAAGATATTGTGGCGATAAGAAATAGGGCGGCCCATTACGAACTAATAGATGGTCTATTATTTTATACAAAAACTACGAATTCCAACAACGAATTTCGACCTGTTATCCCAGCTAGTCTTAGATTAAATATCCTGCAAGAGCTCCATGACAGCCCTTTAGCTTCTCATGCTGGTATTCGAAAAACTATCCAACGCGTACGCGAGGCAGTCTACTTTCCTGAACTGCAAAAGTTAACAAGGGCGTATGTCCAGTCCTGCCCAACATGTCAAGCCGTTAATTATATTAATTTCCGCCCGGCCGGGTTTCTAAATAGTATTAAATCCGAATTTCCAAATGAAATAATTGGCATCGATTTATTGGGCCCTTTCCCAAAAAGTCAGTTAAATAAAAGTCGCTATCTCCTTGTTATGGTTGATCATTTTAGTAAATGGACCGAAATTGTTCCCTTAAAACGAGCCTCCGCGAAATTAGTTACTGATTCTATTTTAAATAAATATATTTTAAAATACGGGGCGCCCCTAAAAGTTATATCGGATAATGGTCCTCAATTTGTAAGTAATATATTTGAAGACATGTGCCAAAAACTGGGCATACGTCATTTAAAAATGGTCCCGTATCGGCCGCAATCAAATATAGCGGAACGGGTCAACAGAAATATAGTGAAAATTATCCGTAGTTATGTTAAAAATTTTCATAAAAGCTGGGATAACTATGTCAATGAATTTGCTTTCGCCCTTAGGACCGCAAAACATGATACAACGGGCAAAACTCCTGCTGAGTTATTTCTAGGCAGAAAGATTATAACACCGTTAGATAAACTATTTTATGTGCAACAAAGAGCCCCAGAATTTAAAATGGGTGATATAGAAAAACTAATAAAAGAAGCAAAAAAGAATACGGAAGTAGCACAAAGAAAACAAAATTGTATTATGACTTGAAACGACGGGGAGTAACTTATAAAGTAGGGGATGAAGTTTAAAAATTAAGCATTCACTTTCTTCAGCACCAGAAGATAAAACTGCCAAATTTTTTTCCACGATTTGAAGGACCATATGTTATAGAAAAAATAACTCACGCTGTTGTAGTGTTAAAAGGCAAGAAATGGTGAAACCTGTTCCGCAAACATTGATCAAAATCAACCCTACTTCGATCGTAATAAAATGCAAATCTTTTCAGATCTTTTGCAGGATCCGGCACGGCAGACACCGCAGGTACAAGTTCCAGAGGTGGGAAAACGACAAGTACAAGGGCAAGCCAATGAGAGACAGAAGCAAGTGAAAAGAAAATTGCCCCGCGGAAAAATTGAAGGTACAAAGAAAAAGAAGCCGTTCCACCGTCCAAAAACAGAGTTCACGAACACCCCCAGAATGAAGAAGGGAGAAGGACGACGTATGTGGAAAAGACCGGGAGAAAGGACGGCAACTATA